TATCAAAAATTAAAATGCAATAAAAATTAAAATTTTAATAAAAAATGCTCAGAACCCCATTTTTCTAGCAAACCTCCCATATACTACTAGCAAAATAAAAATCTTCTCTAGAACTGGCAAATTTATTGGGACTTTTAGAACCGTTTAGGATCATTTAACATCCCTACTTCTGAAGAGGCCATTCTGCATATTTTCGTTTATCATGATTATTTGCATATCACGATAATCCTGTGATTATTGTGTTGCCGACACAAATCACGAGACATCAGATTGTCCCTAATTATGGGACGCACCAGGCTTTAACCGTCCCCCGTTTATGGTAGTCACCAAGTGACATCTCCTCAATCAAAGAGGCAATCTCGTCGCCTCATCATGAAGAACAAATCTCTTTATTTAAAAATCTATATCAACAACCCGTGGTTTTTTTTACAAACTTTCCGTTATTATCTCGTTCTTGTTCTTTGAATTTATTTTTCTTTGAATGGGATGGAAACACATCCATTTCATATGAAAATGTGCGCACAAAAAACGCCCAATCCTTAGCCCTTTTCAAAATTTTATCTTTTAAAATAAAATGATAAAAAACTTTATCTTTTGTTACTTTATTGTTTTATCAGTTTAAAATTATATTTTATTACTTTTTTTTAACTTGATAATCATCAGCATATACAGCTTTTTCGTGTCAATAATGGAAGTATGGATGCTAAACATATAGCTTAATTTTTCGCGTCGGTGTCAATATGAGTCAATTGATTTTTGATATTTAAGACTCTTCCATACGCGTTGAACTATCCTAAACATTTATTATTCTTGTGAAAAGAAATTTTTGAAAACTAAACATGAGCGCATCCTGACCGAAATGGTAAGTCCCGTGAATGGTATTTCGATTGTAATAATTAACTACTAATCTACCGTTCGATTATTAGTCCTTGTCTCATACTTTGAGTAACGGGAAAAATGGTCTTATCTTGGGTTTTTGAACCTAAATCGCGATGTCTCCTTTTCGAATGACTGTCGTGAACTTAACAGGTACTGGGCTGTTCACTTTCTGGAAGTCTTCGGGAACTTTTGGATTAAACAACCTTTGAAGGAAAAGGTTTGTTTTTTTTTTTATTTTGCAAAGGAAAGATAAGTCCTAGTTCACTTTCATATATGTATAACAATTACGAAATATTAAACGGATATCTTTCTCAAATTTGTGTTAATTTTTAATTTGAATTTATAGCATATAAACCCATCGGATGCTTTACTGAAACCTCCTTTTCAATATATTTATAAAATATACGAGCACAAGAGTTATTTGGAGCTTTGGAAAGATCTTTGGCAGGAACCTGGACTGTCTTCTGTGAACAAGATGCAACGGCAGGCACTAGGTTCTCTTTTTCGCGTTCCTTGATAACCCCCTGCCAGTATTTTTGTAAGTCTTTCGCATAACGTGTCTTTACCTGAGCTTGTTAGTGCGCTAACTTTTTTATTTAGTGATAAGGGAAGAAGGTTCATAGCTAGTTGTTCCTCCTCCAGAACTAACAGACCTTTCTTTACCAACAACAAATTTAGGGCTCCTGAATTGAGAGCTTGGAGTGGATACCAAGTGTGTCAACCCAGTAATTCTCCTGAGTCAAACCCTCTAATAATTATATTGAAAGTGAGATTTATCAATCGGCTGAAAAAATTAGAATCTATTTTCAACATAACTTGGACTGAAAATTTTGAACAAAAGGAAAAACGGAAAAGAGCAAAAGACGATGCTGACACAGAATCTTCTGGTAAGTCATGATGTTTACAATACCTTTTTGCATTTATGTTATTAACTCGTGTTCAATAACCATCCATTAGAACAATGGAAGAAACAGAGCCGAATCCTAGAACAAAAAAAGGATAATGCGGTGTTCAGAAATGTTATCGATGATGGTCTCCGTGTTGCTTCGGCACATGAAAACCTTATTGCTGGAATGTTGTGCCCTTTAAAGTCATCAAAACCTTCCTACGAACAAGGTCGCGCATGTCGTTATCCTCAGCGAATGAGCCTGTCCTACAGGCAATTGTCGAGAGTCTTCTCCGTCAAGATATCGCATCCCAAAACTTTTCGTTGGTAATGGACGGCGTAGGTGAAAATCGCTTTGGTTTTTCAGACATCTTTGTCCTTAGTGAAACTGGGGGAGAACAATGTATGTTTAAAGTTGAAATTTGTCTACGTTAAATTTATCTCAATCTGGTAGCCAACTAAAACGTCGTAAAACTTTGATAATCCATATTATATATAGCTTTGGTGAAGTAAAAAATCCAAATTATGTAACTAAACCACTAAAACCAAGTCGTCAGCCTCCACCAATACCGTCTCCAAATAAAGCTTTGCCTCAACCTCCTGAAATCATCCTCGAAAGGACAAAATATATCAATTCCTTCACTTAATAATAATAATTCTACATCGAGTCAACATATTCCTAGTTTAGGA